TTCACAAAGGTTTGTTCGGTCTTAAATGAACAAGATTATAATTATATTACGTTAGTTAATTTACCTTATACATCTCACCACCATCATCGTAGTTGAAATCAAGCATGACGAGACAGTTCATTATTGGTATTAAGGGTGCAGCAGTTGAGCTAACAGTCGATGAGGACATAGTTGGAGGTACGGTGGTGCTCACGGTCGAAGAGGACATAGTTGGAGGCATGGTCGTGCTTACAGTCGATGANGCTTACAGTCGATGAGGACATAGTTGGAGGCACAGTGGTGCTCACAGTCGAAGAGGATATAGTTGTAGGCATGGTCGTGCTTGCAGTCGATGAGGATATAGTTGGAGGCACGGTGGTGCTCACAGTCGAAGAGGATATAGTTGTAGGCATGGTCGTGCTTACAGTCGATGAGGATATAGTTGGAGGCACGGTGGTGCTCACAGTCGAAGAGGATATAGTTGTAGGCATGGTCGTGCTTACAGTCGTTGAGGATGTAGCTGGAGGCATGGTCGTGCTCACAGTCGATGAGGACATAGTTGGAGGTACGGTGGTGCTCACAGTCGTTGAGGATGTAGCTGGAGGCATGGTCGTGCTCACAGTCGTTGAGGATGTAGCTGGAGGCATGGTCGTGCTCACAGTCGTTGAGGATATAGTTGTAGGCATGGTCGTGCTAACAGTCGATGAGGACATAGTTGGAGGTACGGTGGTGCTCACGGTCGAAGAGGACATAGTTGGAGGCATGGTCGTGCTTACAGTCGATGAGGACATAGTTGGAGGCACAGTGGTGCTCACAGTCGAAGAGGATATAGCTGGAGGCATGGTCGTGCTTACAGTCGTTGAGGATGTAGCTGGAGGCATGGTCGTGCTCACAGTCGTTGAGGATGTAGCTGGAGGCATGGTCGTGCTCACAGTCGTTGAGGATGTAGCTGGAGGCATGGTCGTGCTCACAGTCGTTGAGGATGTAGCTGGAGGCATGGTCGTGCTCACAGTCGTTGAGGATGTAGCTGGAGGCATGGTCGTGCTCACAGTCGTTGAGGATGTAGCTGGAGGCATGGTCGTGCTCACAGTCGTTGAGGATGTAGCTGGAGGCATGGTCGTGCTCACAGTCGTTGAGGATGTAGCTGGAGGCATGGTCGTGCTCACAGTCGTTGAGGATGTAGCTGGAGGCATGGTCGTGCTCACAGTCGTTGAGGATGTAGCTGGAGGCATGGTCGTGCTCACAGTCGTTGAGGATGTAGCTGGAGGCATGGTCGTGCTTACAGTCGATGAGGACATAGTTGGAGGTACGGTGGTGCTCACGGTCGAAGAGGACATAGTTGGAGGCATGGTCGTGCTTACAGTCGATGAGGACATAGTTGGAGGCACAGTGGTGCTCACAGTCGAAGAGGATGTAGCTGGAGGCATGGTCGTGCTCACAGTCGTTGAGGATGTAGCTGGAGGCATGGTCGTGCTTACAGTCGTTGAGGATGTAGCTGGAGGCGTGGGTACGGTCGAGCTCACAGTGCTCTTGGTATCAGGGCTTGTGGGTACAGTAGTTTTCACCGTTGTTTTGGCAGGAGGGCTTGTGGGTACAGTAGTTTTCACCGTTGTTTTGGGAGGAGGATTTGTGGGTACAGTAGTTTTCACCGTTGTTTTGGGAGGAGGATTTGTGGGTACAGTAGTCTTTATAGTGGGAACAGCAATAGATGTTAGTACTGTAGATGCTGTAGATAGTCTTGAAGTAGAAAATGATGTTGTTGATGAAGGAGGAAGTGTAGTGATTGTTGTTGTGGGAGCATCATTTACTATTGGAGAATCTGAATTGGCACGATCGAATAAAATATGGAGTTAAAGGAATACCGATTGTATGAGCAATCACATCTGTGATATTGCTTACATCTGAGCCCACTACATTGGTGGAAGTAGTTGTTTGATATGTAGCTTGAATTTCCTGAGTAGAGTACTGTTTACTGGCTAACACAGGAGAAGGGAGTGTGGAAATTTTTTGACCAAAGTATTGATTATCAGTATCAGAGGAAGTGCAAGGAACGAAATATAGTAGTTGATCATCACCCAACTTGTTCCTTATGTATGAGTCAATGAACCTTCAAAGAAAAACTTTGATTTTAAAATCTGACAGAAATCTTACTGTGATTGGTTGATTGGATAGTTGTTTGGCTGTTGTAGCGTATCAGTCAAATATTTCATAAAATTTTTTTTCGTCTTTATGTCAGAGAATGTAGTATCCCTCGAAAAGGAAGCCAATCGATATGCAGTGGTATCATCAGTTGTCTTCTGAACAATGCTATAGGCTAAGTCTCTACTCTGAAATAGAATAAGCATAAGCATTTATGTTGTAATTGTTTATTACAGCTTGCATGGAGCATGCCAACTGATCAGCTCTTGACATAGAAGTTTGAAAAGCTCCATTTGATGTAGGAATAGCTATGGTCACTACTTTATCTGAAACAAAATAATATTCAAAGGCTTAATATTTTCAAGAATTTGGTTGATGACGTCATAGATGGTTGAACCCACCCAATCTATTTTTGTAAAATGATATTAAGATCGGCTTTTATTCTTTGCTAGATGATTGAATGGCTACATTAGTCAATTAGATATGATAACAAGAAGTCTTACATAAGAGGGTGTGGCAATCATTGCAAGGTTTTAATGACTAAGTATTTAAGCAGTTGATTATAAGAGAGCTTTGGCGGAAAGAATAGAATGTGAAACTATAAAACTTTAATGAGGATAGTAAGTCAATATGGAGAGAGAGAACAAGCAATAGGCCTTATGATTCAAGAGAAACAGATTGATTGAAGAAGCTGATGTGCTTGTTTCAAAAATGCAATAACGCATGCTTTATACAGATTTTGAAGATGTTTCAACTTCCAACTTCATCAGCAGTATGAATGTTGCAAATGAGGTAAAACAGAACAAACCTGTCTTGTCTTTCTTGATTGTCGTTACAACAATGACAATGACGGCAACGAACAGTAAGACGAAGAGCAGTATACCGACTAGTAAAGCAACTCGAAGCCTTTGCTGTTTTGGCTTTAAACCATCCTCCTCATTGGGCATTTTACCTATTTGAAAATGAAACAAATGAATGAAAACAATAGTAATGAGCAAAAAACAATTATATAGAGAACTTAATGAAATAACAACATTTTGAAAAGAGAAATGGATAAGAAGAAGACGAGGAAGAAAGAAGATAGCGATAACGAAGAGAAATTTAACATTCTGCTCTCAAATGATAATGAACTTGTATGCAAAGACACCTCCATTGATGCATTTTGAATGAATAAGCCGAATTCCAATCTTCATTTCCATTTATATTCAGAAACTTTATCATCACAAGGGCAGATAGTTGGTTTTTTCTGTTATCTATCTTTCGCAAGTTTGTACCAACTCAAACAACGCCTATGACTACTAATCACATCCTTCTCAACAGGGAATCGCCCATGCCCAACTCTTATCATCCCGTTCGAGCAACACTTCAAGACAAATATTTCATTTATTCAGCAATTTTCATAGCTTCACATTCTATTGACGTCACACATATAATACAATGATTTCATTATTTACACCTATTCATGTCTTTGAACTATCCGTTCTCTCCGATATAATTGTGCTATTCACTTCAACAGTATCCGTATTCCAGAGAGAGGTGGGTTCCGCTGACTGCATATCATCTGGTCTGCTACTCCCATAACTATTTCTGGCCTCTGAAATATGACTTCTAAACAAGACATTATCAGTACTCTCAATGATCGGTGTAGTCTCAGCCGACTCAGTGCTGAGTACTGCGGATGGATCGGCAGTTTCACTACTGAACAGAATTATTGGAGACAACTCAGTCCACTGGTCGGCAGTCCTCTCTGATGCATCAGTTGTACCATAACTGGATGTTCTCTCTGATGTACCAGTCGTTCCATAGTCTGTGGAAGTCTCTGATGTATCAGAGGTACCATAGTTAGTAGTCATGTCTGATGTATCAGTGGTCACTGATTCAGTTGACGAGTCGTCTGTGGAGACGCGAAAGTCAGTTGTACCGTAGTTAGTGGTGGTCTCGGATGTATCAGTAGTACCATAATCTGTTGTCGTCTCTGATGTATCAGTGGTCGATGAATCAGTTGACGAGTCTTCTGTGGAAACACGAAAGTCAGTTGAACCGTAGTTAGTGGTCGTCTCGGATGTATCAGTAGTCCCATAGTTAGTGGTCATGTCTGATGTATCAGTAGTCCCATAGTTAGTGGTCATGTCTGATGTATCAGTAGTCCCATAGTTAGTGGTCATGTCTGATGTATCAGTAGTCCCATAGTTAGTGGTCATGTCTGATGTATCAGTAGTCCCATAGTTAGTGGTCATGTCTGATGTATCAGTAGTCCCATAGTTAGTGGTCATGTCTGATGTATCAGTAGTCCCATAGTTAGTGGTCATGTCTGATGTATCAGTAGTCCCATAGTTAGTGGTCATGTCTGATGTATCAGTAGTCCCATAGTTAGTGGTCATGTCTGATGTATCAGTAGTCCCATAGTTAGTGGTCATGTCTGATGTATCAGTAGTCCCATAGTTAGTGGTCATGTCTGATGTATCAGTAGTCCCATAGTTAGTGGTCATGTCTGATGTATCAGTAGTCCCATAGTTAGTGGTCATGTCTGATGTATCAGTAGTCCCATAGTTAGTGGTCATGTCTGATGTATCAGTAGTCCCATAGTTAGTGGTCATGTCTGATGTATCAGTAGTCCCATAGTTAGTGGTCATGTCTGATGTATCAGTAGTCCCATAGTTAGTGGTCATGTCTGATGTATCAGTAGTCCCATAGTTAGTGGTCATGTCTGATGTATCAGTAGTCCCATAGTTAGTGGTCATGTCTGATGTATCAGTAGTCCCATAGTTAGTGGTCATGTCTGATGTATCAGTAGTCCCATAGTTAGTGGTCATGTCTGATGTATCAGTAGTCCCATAGTTAGTGGTCATGTCTGATGTATCAGTAGTCCCATAGTTAGTGGTCATGTCTGATGTATCAGTAGTCCCATAGTTAGTGGTCATGTCTGATGTATCAGTAGTCCCATAGTTAGTGGTCATGTCTGATGTATCAGTAGTCCCATAGTTAGTGGTCATGTCTGATGTATCAGTAGTCCCATAGTTAGTGGTCATGTCTGATGTATCAGTAGTCCCATAGTTAGTGGTCATGTCTGATGTATCAGTAGTCCCATAGTTAGTGGTCATGTCTGATGTATCAGTAGTCCCATAGTTAGTGGTCATGTCTGATGTATCAGTAGTCCCATAGTTAGTGGTCATGTCTGATGTATCAGTAGTCCCATAGTTAGTGGTCATGTCTGATGTATCAGTAGTCCCATAGTTAGTGGTCATGTCTGATGTATCAGTAGTCCCATAGTTAGTGGTCATGTCTGATGTATCAGTAGTCCCATAGTTAGTGGTCATGTCTGATGTATCAGTAGTCCCATAGTTAGTGGTCATGTCTGATGTATCAGTAGTCCCATAGTTAGTGGTCATGTCTGATGTATCAGTAGTCCCATAGTTAGTGGTCATGTCTGATGTATCAGTAGTCCCATAGTTAGTGGTCATGTCTGATGTATCAGTAGTCCCATAGTTAGTGGTCATGTCTGATGTATCAGTAGTCCCATAGTTAGTGGTCATGTCTGATGTATCAGTAGTCCCATAGTTAGTGGTCATGTCTGATGTATCAGTAGTCCCATAGTTAGTGGTCATGTCTGATGTATCAGTAGTCCCATAGTTAGTGGTCATGTCTGATGTATCAGTAGTCCCATAGTTAGTGGTCATGTCTGATGTATCAGTAGTCCCATAGTTAGTGGTCATGTCTGATGTATCAGTAGTCCCATAGTTAGTGGTCATGTCTGATGTATCAGTAGTCCCATAGTTAGTGGTCATGTCTGATGTATCAGTAGTCCCATAGTTAGTGGTCATGTCTGATGTATCAGTAGTCCCATAGTTAGTGGTCATGTCTGATGTATCAGTAGTCCCATAGTTAGTGGTCATGTCTGATGTATCAGTAGTCCCATAGTTAGTGGTCATGTCTGATGTATCAGTAGTCCCATAGTTAGTGGTCATGTCTGATGTATCAGTAGTCCCATAGTTAGTGGTCATGTCTGATGTATCAGTAGTCCCATAGTTAGTGGTCATGTCTGATGTATCAGTAGTCCCATAGTTAGTGGTCATGTCTGATGTATCAGTAGTCCCATAGTTAGTGGTCATGTCTGATGTATCAGTAGTCCCATAGTTAGTGGTCATGTCTGATGTATCAGTAGTCCCATAGTTAGTGGTCATGTCTGATGTATCAGTAGTCCCATAGTTAGTGGTCATGTCTGATGTATCAGTAGTCCCATAGTTAGTGGTCATGTCTGATGTATCAGTAGTCCCATAGTTAGTGGTCATGTCTGATGTATCAGTAGTCCCATAGTTAGTGGTCATGTCTGATGTATCAGTAGTCCCATAGTTAGTGGTCATGTCTGATGTATCAGTAGTCCCATAGTTAGTGGTCATGTCTGATGTATCAGTAGTCCCATAGTTAGTGGTCATGTCTGATGTATCAGTAGTCCCATAGTTAGTGGTCATGTCTGATGTATCAGTAGTCCCATAGTTAGTGGTCATGTCTGATGTATCAGTAGTCCCATAGTTAGTGGTCATGTCTGATGTATCAGTAGTCCCATAGTTAGTGGTCATGTCTGATGTATCAGTAGTCCCATAGTTAGTGGTCATGTCTGATGTATCAGTAGTCCCATAGTTAGTGGTCATGTCTGATGTATCAGTAGTCCCATAGTTAGTGGTCATGTCTGATGTATCAGTAGTCCCATAGTTAGTGGTCATGTCTGATGTATCAGTAGTCCCATAGTTAGTGGTCATGTCTGATGTATCAGTAGTCCCATAGTTAGTGGTCATGTCTGATGTATCAGTAGTCCCATAGTTAGTGGTCATGTCTGATGTATCAGTAGTCCCATAGTTAGTGGTCATGTCTGATGTATCAGTAGTCCCATAGTTAGTGGTCATGTCTGATGTATCAGTGGTCGATGAATCAGTTGACGAGTCTTCTGTGGAAACACGAAAGTCAGTTGAACCGTAGTTAGTGGTCGTCTCGGATGTATCAGTAGTCCCATAGTTAGTGGTCATGTCTGATGTATCAGTGGTCACTGATTCAGTTGACGAGTCTTCTGTGGAGACGCGAGAGTCAGTTGTACCGTAGTTAGTGGTGGTTTCGGATGTATCAGTAGTACCATAGTCGGTTGTCGTCTCCGATGTATCAGTGGTACTATAGTTGATGGTTGTCTCGGATCTATCAGTAGTATCATAGTTAGTAGTCATGTCTGATGTATCAGTGGTACCAGAGTTAGTAGTCATGTCTGATGTATCAGTGGTACCATAGTTAGTAGTCATGTCTGATCTATCAGTAGTATCATAGTTAGTAGTCATGTCTGATGTAACAGTGGTCACTGATTCAGTTGACGAGTCGTCTGTGGAGACGCGAAAGTCAGTTGTACCGTAGTTAGTGGTGGTCTCGGATGTATCAGTAGTACCATAATCTGTTGTCGTCTCTGATGTATCAGTGGTACCATAGTTGATGGTTGTCTCGGATCTATCAGTAGTATCATAGTTAGTAGTCATGTCTGATGTATCAGTGGTCACTGATTCAGTTGACGAGTCGTCTGTGGAGACGCGAAAGTCAGTTGTACCGTAGTTAATGGTGGTCTCGGATGTATCAGTAGTACCATAATCTGTTGTCGTCTCTGATGTATCAGTGGTACCATAGTTGATGGTTGTCTCGGATCTATCAGTAGTATCATAGTTAGTAGTCATGTCTGATGTATCAGTGGTCACTGATTCAGTTGACGAGTCGTCTGTGGAGACGCGAAAGTCAGTTGTACCGTAGTTAATGGTGGTCTCGGATGTATCAGTAGTACCATAATCTGTTGTCGTCTCTGATGTATCAGTGGTACCATAGTTGATGGTTGTCTCGGATCTATCAGTAGTATCATAGTTAGTAGTCATGTCTGATGTATCAGTGGTCACTGATTCAGTTGACGAGTCGTCTGTGGAGA